TGATGTTACATTTTTATAGTTGTAAATTGGTTGATTTGTGGGAGAGAGTGACACTGGGAACAGTCTATTGTGCCATTTTGACTGGAACCCTTAGGCTTTCTTCGTTCCTCTCTGGCCACTTAATTTCCTTTGCTGGCCCATTCTTATTGGTAAAATTACCCCCAATTTTTTCAGGTGATAAGTGAACTTTTTGTGTGTGTACGTGATAGTATTATCTAACAACCAAGTTTGCTTTTGACATGTCATCATTTTTGGTAGGCATAGCAGTGTTTTTGTAATATTTGCATATTTCCCTTTATATTTCTCCTTATTTTATTTAAATGACTGAAAAATGTTAAAATGAAAGTGTGACACTAGTGACAAGGCTCACAATAGAAATGAAACAGGCAAAAATGAATTATTGGAGAAATGGAAAAACCATGACTCCTTCACCTCATAAGCATGCTCACAGATTAAAAGTGTTCAGTTGTGACAGACGGGAAATACTAAGGAACTTATGCAAAATGCTGGAAACATACCATCAAAGATTAAACTTGAGAGTCATGGTCTAATTCTGGAAATTATAATAATTTTTAGCTTTCTGGGAAGAAAATTCCTTTTCCTGTTATATATAAATCTATTTTAAGCATTCCAATATATAGCTTTCACTGAAAGTTTTAGCTTCCATACTGAAGTAAAGAGATGCATTCTAATGAGTAAATGAGGAATTAGAGATAAGGTCACTTTCTCATACTGCATTCGGTCATCAGTGTGCAGAATTGTCTGGAGACTTGTTAAGGAGACCTGATTTTAGCCTCACAGTTCAAGATCCTGATTGTTTTTTGATGAATTTTGGTTAATGCTATAATACCACTGGTTTCTATTTGGGTATGAATAGGCATAGGAAAAAGACAGCGTTCTCATATATCTTATGGCTAATTGAAAATAGGATAAAACACTTTCCAATAACTATTACAATGCAAACTTATCTGTAAGGGTCCAATAGTATATCTCTTTCAATTTGTTTTTATAGGCACTAAAATTTAAAGTATTAGTTAAAAATAAGAAAATAGGAAGCTTAAAGGAAACCCGTGAAAGAAAAGGTTCTGATAAGAGTGGTAAAGTGGAGGAATGGGAAGAGGAATTGCCAGATCCAGAAGATGAGGAAGAATTCAGAGACTCAGAATTATCCGAGGACTTTTTGTTAAGAGACAATCAAGAAAAGGAAAAAAGAGCACTTGGAGTCGTGCTTTTCAAGAAAAAGAGGGTGAGATGATGCTTTGTAAAAATCTTACAAGTGATTGAAAAGTTTTCATTGGAGGAGATTTCCCAAAATCCTGGAGATAAAAATATTATTCCTCTGTACAAAAACTCTAGTTTATCATTTAAAATTTACTTAGAAAAAATTAACACTGGAAAAGGAATGTTAAAAATTGTCTTTTTTACTATTAGCTGTTTTTAATTTTTTCTCTAGAGTCAACAAATATGCATTCTTCTGTCCTAGACAGTGTGCAGAGTGCAAAAGATAAAGAGATAAACAACATAATTATTCTGCCCTCAAGTAGAGACAGAGACAAGAAAATTAATGTTTATAATATATAGTATTATAATCATACACATTAACATGACAAAAGAAGGTATATTAGGTTGCATGGGACACAAAACCAATCCAGCTGGTTTAAATTAAAAAAAAGAGAGGATTAATTAATTGGCTCACATAGATGAAAAGTTCAGGGAAAGTGATTTTAATTTCAGGAAGTGACTTGGTATAGTATCTCAAGCAAGATCAACAGAACTTTATTTCTTTCTCCAGCTTTGGCCCTACTTTCTCCATACTCTACTACAAAAATTCAGCTTTATATTTTTTTCAGGTTCAAATCCAGTGGAATTCCTATCTAGCTCTCAGCAGAGCAAACACATTTTTTTTTTGTACATTGCCTGTGATTTGGTCATGTGCATATCCCTGAACCAATTGCTGTTGCTAAGGGAATGCCAAGCTCTGATTAGCCAGCCTAATCTTCATGAGTCATACTTAAACACGTGGGCTGAGCATGAGCAAGCATATTTTCCCAAAACAAAACTTGGGAAGTGGCTAACAAAAGGGGAGAGGAAGTGGATGCTGTGCTGTAAAAAAGCAAAGTGTTCACTATATAATAGTAGTTATTCCAAAATATTAGATCAAACTAGAAATATACTCCTCATGTCTAAAATACCTAAATTTGTAAAATTCATGAGAATAAACTGAAATCTTTGGGAAAAAAGAAATAGCAGTAATTGTCATTCTCAATATGTATTACATTAATTGGAATTTTAAATTAGGCTAGCTCTTATTAACGTTAATATTATAGTCATAAAAATAATCACATTGACTTAATCCAAATAGTTTTTGAGGAGATAATCTTATTAAAAGACTCAAATCATCCATTCGAAAGCTTATTTTCTTGACTGGAAAAGGGATTTTTCAAATAACAGTAAAAATGTGAAATTAACGCATTTTATTTTTAGACCAGGAAGCTAAAAATTGCTCTGGCCTTATCTGATCTTGTCATTTATACTAAATCTGAGAAGTTCAGAAGTTTTCAACATTCAAGACTGTATCAGCAATTTAACGAAAATAATTCTATTGGGGAGAC